AAACTTAATTTTAATGGCTTCTGTACCTCTGTAGTTTGTAAAAGCGGCCTAATTTTTCATTAAAGTTAGCTGAGGCTTATAAGATAAGGTCTTGCTTTCTCTGAACTCTTATTTCACTTAAGTTTCAGGCTCTAGTTCCATAGCTCTTCTAGATAGTACAAGATTCTTAAGTTCAAAAGGATTTCAACTGTTAATCACATAATCATTAACGTTCTTCTAATAAGAAATCAAGATTGAGAATTCTGCTTTCTCTGTAGGCTCAAACTTCTGATAAGAAATCTTCGTTTAAACCAACTTGTCTAGCAAGTTCCAAAAACAACTGCATTCCTTAAATCACTGAGTTGCATATCACTGACTTCTCTAGAATTTCTACTTCTGATTTCAGCCTGGTCCCAACACTCTAGCGTTTCACATAGAGAGACAGATAGACAGACACAGACAGACAGACAGACAAACAAGACAATGAACTGACTAAAACACCACACATACATGTGCACATATCTGTAGTTGATCGATCAATCTGACCCTTCAAAAAAAATGGCAGGGAGAAACTGATGGACTGAGAAAGGAAGGGACTGTCCCCAGGGCGAAGAAACCTTATCGCTGATTGGGAACTCTGCTCCCCATTTCCCAGTCTCCCGCTTGTTAAAAATGGGTCAAGAAAGCGCTTTTGTTGATATAAGCCGGCAAAATAAACTATGACAAAGATGTTACCATATTTTGGCCAAGGCTAAATCTGAGGCAGGGAGCTAGTATCATGATCTTGCATTTTCCTGCCTCCTCTGCTTTGATAATCCTATTTCTTTTGTTACCTATGAAGATCTGACTGCAGAATGATCTGGTAATGCAAACTGCCATTCACTGTATATCCTTCCCAATATTCTAACTTATACTCAGGCCACGTGGTGTTACAGAGGTCAACAAGATATTCCTTATCTAAACTATCTACTTGGAAGCTCTTCCGGTGTTTTAAGAGCAACCCAAAGGAGAATATTTAGGTACTGATGTAGAATTTCCCATATCTCCTAAGTGTCAGCAATAACCTATGAAAGGGAGGGAAAAGAAAAATCTAGGGTAGGATAAGTCCTTAGCATGCTCTCCTCCTAATAGTTTCTAGTGTTGTGGTTCTAGAGAGAGCACGGACACGACCACAACTGCATGCCAGCCCATCAGAAAAATCTCTCTTTAAAGGATGTCTCCTTTAGAGATTTCTGAGTCACCCTAGGAATCCCTGGGTCCTGCCTCCCGAGCGTCCACACAACCATGGCTTACACGTGTGGAGCCATACCTAGAGTGCCATGGGTTTCCAATAAGCCTATTAAGGGGAGAAGAGAAAAGTTCTGCCTTTCTTAGCTTGCCACATATTCCAATGTTCCCTGCTGACACTTTCTTCCACAAACTTCTTGTCTGTCTTTTTACCTTTTTTTTTCTCTGCTTCACTTTGCCTAGGGCTAAACCTGCTGACTGCCTCCATTAGCATTTGAATTGACCTCTAGCTGATTCTGCTGGTTAGAATGCTTAAGAAAGGGATTTCTAACTAGAAATTGATCTGCCTTAGTTTACCAGGATCTTCTCACTAGTGGGCTCTCATCCCATAGTGGACGGTGATGCGAGACAGACAAAGGAGGGGTGCCTCTTTGCAGAGACCATTCAGATGCTTGCCTGGCCGGAGGAGAACTTAGCCTTAGTGGTTCAGCGTTGTGACTTGCGACCGGTAGCTATACCAGTGCCACCATTGACCGTATGTTCTCCGTGGAGTCGCAGGCAGCCCACTCGAGCTCCGTGACTTTAGAGGGACTTTAAGAGTGCCAGGTCGTGGAGCTACAAAATCACGCCCGATAGGAGGACCTATCAGGGTGCTCAGACACACACACATTCACACAGAGGTTATCACATTCCTCCCCCAGTCCCCCTAGAGATTTCCAAGGGAGCATACCTTCACAGCAGATCTTCCACAGATTGCCTCCTTTATCCGAGCCACAAGGTTTGGAGAGAAGGAACCTCCTGGGGGCCAATCCACACCAAAGGAAGGCCATTCTGATGAACAATAATTGGCAAACTTACCTTTCTTGATCATCAAGCCCAGATTCTGAGCTTTCCTGTGGATCTCAGAGAAGTGATCAAGAATTAAAGCTTTGGGGGTCGATTGATTCTGACCCATATTAAACAATCTCAATAAACAGAACTAAGAGAAGGATAATAAGACAAATACACACACTAAGGACACACGCACAGATCACACTCCTGCACTCGCTCGGACCGGTCCACTCTCTCACACGGGTGCGCACCACACTCACCAGTCACCCTGGGACTCCCGAATATGCCCAAAGGGCGTGCACGTGATTTTCACCTCCGGAGGGTTCAGCTCTTCCAGGTCTTCTCCCGGCGCCGGATTTTCCAGAACAGATGAGGCCTCCAGAACAGACAGACGAGGACCCGAGGAAACCCTATGTCCCCCCAAGTCCTCCCAGTCAGGGTTGGCCACTTCCCTGCCGCGGTCCAGAACAGACGAGGCCTCCAGAACAGACAGACGAGGACCCGAGGAAACCCTATGTCCCCCCAAGTCCTCACAGGGTTAGCTACTTCCCTGCCGCGGTCCAGAAGGGGACACTGTCCCCCCACAGAACAGACGGAATATTCCCCAGAAATTTTTTTTTTTTTTTTTTTTAAGGCCTTTTCAAAACCCGCTCTCTGGGCCCGTTTGCCGTCGGGAGATCTCGCTGGGGCCTCCAAATGTTAGGGCGCAGATCGTGATCTCCCTTTAACGACAAAGAGACTCCAGAGACTGCAAACAGCAAGCAAGGTTTATTGTAAGACTGGCTAGCCAGGGTCAAGCCGCCTACACAGACACGCAGGTCAGTTAGGTGAGGCAAGACCCCGAACTTCTTCAAAGGGGATCTTATATAGGCCTTCACTGGCCGTTACAGCAAAGCCCGCGCATTTCATAGCCAATAGATTTGTAACAACATATGCTTTCTTAACCAATCCGTGTAGAAGTACATCACTCCTTAGCCTATAGATTCAAAGATCAGCATTTACGTACATAGGCATTGTGACTAGTGGGCATCAGGTAACTTGGACATTTGGTTATCACCTTGCTTCCTCTGATTCTCAGCCCTGCATTCCGGAGGTGGATAAGGGAAGAGTTCTTAAGGGAGGTAACAGATAAGGAGGGCAGGAAAGGGAGAGTTACTAATTTATAGAGTTTTAACTCTGGAATCTCCCTCAGGGTCCCTAGGGACCTAACACTACCGCTGTGCTATCGCTCCAGCCCGAGGAACCAGGGGGATTACCTGGGAAAGGGGGTCCTTGGGCCTGTGTTTCAGATGTTGGGGGATGAGTCAGTCCAGGAATGTGGGTGTACCTGGTGTGTGTTGGCAGGGGGCAAGGCCAGGGAGGGTGGACGTGAGCGTGATTTTGTACAAGTGGAGGGCACAGAGGTGGACCCAGCTCTTTTGGCAAAACATACAAGGCACCAGATACTTTCAGGCCTGAACTCCGGGTCTCCTTTTCCTCATCAACTAAGGACAAAAGGGGAGCTCAGGACGCACCTCACCTGGGGCATTTTAGACCATCAGCCCCCACTCCCCACCAATGCCCTGAGGCAGCTGGAAGCCCAGGGCTAATTCTATGACTTTGGGGGATGGGGAAAGCTGCAGGGATGGGGGAGGGCATGCGCTCTCCTGCTTTTCTGCTTAAGAGTCAGGAAGAGTCATCAGGTCTGTGGATGTGGGGGCTGGTAGGACCCTGGCCCTGAGGCTGGGGCAGCTCTGAGAAAACAGTGACCTTGGGCTTCTCCAAGTTCCTCAGTCTCAGTTTCGTTATCTCTAAAATAGGGTCACTGCCCTCCTCAGAGCTTGCCCATAAGGATGAAACCCTATCGCTGCACTCAAACTGACATAGCCCTTACCACACCCCAGGCTCTCAGCAATGTTCCCAAATCCGGGTTGTCAGTTAACCCTCCCAACAAATCTATTGATCTTTTCACAGTGCTGGCACCAGGGCCCCATAGCAGGTTCCAGGCAGGGGTGGGGCAGGTGGAGGATGGGTGCTGGGATAGAGGTCAGCCTCTTGGAACTCCCTCTCTGACCCCACAGACAATTGGACCATTGTCTTTATGGCAAGGAGCTTCCAAGAGGGTGTTCAGGAGGTTCTAGGGGGTCCCACTGGCGATTCTCCGCCACCAAGGTCTCCAGCATTGCATGGTACAACGCTGCTCAGATGCTGCAGTGCTGGGAGACGCAGGCCACCCCAGCAGTGCTTAGCGCCCTTCAGGGCTATACCCAATCTTGCCAGAGAACCACGTTGGGTGCTGTTGGGTGCTGGGAATCGAATATGGGTTGGGTACATGCCAGGCACCCACTGTACCATCTCTCAGCCCTAGGGAGACCATTCTTTTTTTTTTTAATATTTATTTTGCATTTTGGGTCACACCCGGCAACGCTCAGAGATTACTCCTGGCTCTGCACTCAGGAATTTCTCCTGTCGGTGCTCAGGAGACCATATGGGATGCCGGGGATTGCACCCAGTTCGCTGCGTGCAAGGCAAATGCCCTACCCGCTGTTCCATTGCTCTGGCCTCTAGGGAGACGATCTTTTTGGCTTTGTTTGGGGGCCACACTGGCGATACTTGGGCTTACTCCCGGCTCTACACTCAGGAATCATTTCTAATAGGGCCTGAGGGACCAGATGGGATGCCAGGGATTGAGCCCAGGTTGAACGCATGCAAGGCAGCGCCCTACCCGCTGTGCTGTCTCTCCAGTCCCAAGGAGGAACCATCCTTATCCCAACTTTCCAGATCGCTGAAGTGATCTAACATGAAGCTGATCAGACAACTAGTAAGTGGTGGTTCCAGGATTCAAACCAGGTCACCGTAACTCTCCAGACCTGCTCAGTGCACAAGGGAAAATACTAAATGCAGGGCTGCCTTGTGAACACGCAATGATTGCATCCCTGTATCTCCCTCCCCATGCCCAGGTGGCCCATGGATGTCAGGCTCAGTTGATAGGGACTCAACATTTATTCCAGGAAAAGTTCCAAGAAACAATCCCTCCAGGTAGCGACAGCAGCAGCACCCACACTTTTACAGAGCCGAGCACGAACACCACAGTGGGGACGTGAGTGAGCCAGGGTCCCCTAAAGGGAGCAGCTGAGGGATGGGATCCTCCCCCCTGCCCCCATCCCTGTCCCCCAGCTCAGGCCGCCGTCGACGGGAAGATGAGGAAGCCACTGAAGACGCTATCGGCTTCGGATCCCTGGTAGATGCGGCCCTTCGCGGGGTCTTTTTCGATCCAGACCTGGTCTCCTTGCTGGAGCTGGAGCACCGACCCCCCGGAGACCACCTGGAAGATGCCCCGGCTGTTGGCGTCGCAGAAGCCCAGGGAGCGCTGCCGCTGGCCCCGGCTCAAAGACACAATGGACAGGCAGATGTCCCACTTGGACACCACCTGGAAGGTGAAGTAGTAGTAGCCGGGCACAGCACAGATGAAGCGGCCCGAGTGGTTCTGGTAGGGGCCTTCCTCGTTGGTGATGACCTTGTCGAAGATGACCACATTGCCGCCCATAGGGGGGTTCCGGCGAATGGCCGAGAAGGCTGGTCGCGGCTGGTCCTTGATGTTGCCCGGGTTTCCCTTGATGCCCTTCAATCCTGGGTTCCCAGGAGCCCCTGGGGGGCCATTGGGCCCTGGGGAGCCCATGAGCCCAGGGAGCCCGGGGGAGCCAGGCTCTCCCTGGTCTCCTTTGAGGCCTTGGATGCCTGTCCAGATGCCAGCAGCTCCTGGAGGGAGAAAGGCCAGGTCACAAGGAAGAGTCTAGTGTCCACCAGTCCTTGGGGAGAAGATGGAAACCTGGGTCTGTGGTGGAAGGAGGGCAGCGGGTGCTTGGTTCTTTAAGACGGGGATTCTTACAGACTGTGTGATCTTGGACAAATATCTGAACCTCTCTGAGCCTCATTGTTACAAAATGAGGACAAGTGTGTAAAGCCCCCCTCCCCCCCCCCCCCCCGAAAGTGTCAGGTTTGAGGAAAGCAGGACACTCTTGCTCCTCCCTCTGCTCTTCCCTTGCACGCTGCACTCCTTCCTCTTGGGCCACTAAGCCCAGCTTCCTCACGCTTGGGGGCTGCATATGGGATCCCTGAGTACACTATTTTGGCAAACACCCATGACCTCCCGGGTTTGCTATGGGTGGGGAGGTCGGGGCGTGGGGGGTGATTTCCACAAGACTGTTTGCTTCCTCCCTCGGTCAGGTCCTCCTCCCTTGCCCCTCCCCCAGCCTTTTTCTCTAGGGTATTTGTGAAAGCTGGAAGAGAGGGGGCCCTGGGAGAAGCCAGCATGATCCATCTCTGCTTGGAGAGGTGATTGGACCGAGAGGAAACAGGCTCAGAGAGGATCATCAACTTGTTTGAAATCACACAGCAAGTCAGGGGCTCCTGAGTCTAGCCTCCAGGCTTTCAGGGTTCCAGTAATAGACCAGCCTGTGTCTGGACTGCCTGGGGACTTTGAGATTCACTGAAATCTAGCCGCAATTTCTCCTCTGGTGGAGGAAGGGAAGACCAAACAAAGAACAAGGAAGCAGGAATGTGGGGTGCCTGGTGGGGCTGAGGGTGTGGCACAGGAAGAAGGTAAGGTGCCCTCTTCAGCCCCTGGGGTCAAGTGGACCTTAGAGGCTTTGTGGGGAGTCCAGGTACTCCTTAGTGCCACCCCCAAGCCTCCCACCTGGAGCCCAGGCCAGGCCACAAGAGAAGCTGGGCGGTGAGGGCAGACACTTACCTGGTTCCCCTCTCTCTCCTTTGAGGCCCGGACGCCCGGGTCGGCCGGGTACTCCTGCAGCTCCATTTGTCCCATCCGGAGCTCGGCACACGTCCTGGGTCGCTGTGGAGCTCAGGGAGGTGGCCAGCACAGCGACCAGCAGCCAGTCCCAGGCAGTCTGCATGGTGTCTCTGAGGAGAGCAGGGCAGGCCCCAGGCAGCTGGACACCACGGTCTCCCACCCATCTCACTTGAAACATACACACACACCAATGTGCAGGAACACATACACACCAATGCAAACACACAGGCCAATGTGCGCGCGCACACACACACACACACACACACACACACACACTTGCATGCACACAGCCTGCTCTCCACACAGTTGCACCACAGAACGAGCTGGCTCAAAAGCCCACTCCACACCCTGCACACACACACTGACCCTGTTCACCTGGACACACACATTCATACGCTCATGGAGAGGACCAATTCCATTAAGCAAATATTTATCGAGTACCTGCTCAGCATTGGATGACACTCTCCTGCCCAGAGGCAGAACTGGACAGACACAGAAATTCACAACCCCCCAGCACCGCACTTCCGCTCTGTGCACACTCACTCGCCTCTCTCAGCTCCTCTGTCCTCCCCCAGGGCTCTCAGCTGGCTCCCCCCAGCTTCTGGTGTCCTGGAAAGGACTAGGAGCCAGGAACTGGTGATCTGGACCACTGGAACCTCTTGCCTCCTCCAAGCTCTGACCCAAGGTCGCTGCTTGCCCCCATTCTGGGTCCTGGATTAACATCCCCCCACCCCCCACCCCATTCCTCTTCTGCCACAGAAACTCACTGGGCTCTCCCTCCCTGCCTACCTCTGGGCCAAACTTAGCCTTCAAGGCCAGCTGCCTGGTCGCCACTTCAGAGCCGCCCCTCACCCCCCACAGATGCTGCCTCACCTGCCTCTGTTGGCTGGCCCCTACTGGCTGTGCCTGCCCTCTGCCCAGGGACCCTGACGGACACTCAGAGGGGCGGAACTGGCTGGTGGGCAGGTTTCACATCCCTCCCCACTTCCTCTTCCCCTTCTGCTGACCCTGGCCTGCCCCCCGGTGGCCACAGGCCCGCCAGGGACATTTTGAGCAGAGCTCAGCAGGACCAGGACATTGGGTACTCCATCGAAGCCACAGCTGGGGTGGGGGCAGGGACAGCTGGTGTTGGGGTGGGGCCTGGGCAGGGCCGAGAAGAGAGAAGCAGAGGCTATTGGGGTGGAAGGTGTCTTTGGGGATTCGTAAGCCCCATTCCTGAGGATGAAACATGTGCTTAGACTCAGAGCTTAGAACAAGGACTAGCACAGAGAGAGATCAGTGCTGGCGTGACTAGATACTCCGGAACCTTCTAGACAGGCTGTGTCCAAGCTAAGTGGCCTAGGAAGGAATTCAACTCCTGGGGCCTCCGCTGCCTTATTTTCTTCATTACATATTGTGTTTGTGTATATGTGTGTGGTGTGTGTGTGTGGTGTGTGTATATGGTGTGTGAGGGGTGTGGTGGGGTGTATGTACGTGGTGTGTGTGTGTGTGTGTGTGTGTGTGTGTTGCTAGAATCAGACACAAGACCTCAGATATTCAAGGCAAGGACCCTACCATGAACCACTTTCCTGGTCCAGTTTTCTCATTGACAAACTAGAGATAACAGATTCTTCCTCATTGGATTATGAGAAAATCCTCCTTGGATTATATTGTGTCATGAAATATTTTGGCCCAAAGATTAAAAATGATCTTTTATTTGTTTTGCTTTTGTTTGGGAGCCTCACCTGGTAATGCTCAGGGCTTCCTCCTGGCTCTGCATTCAGAGATCACTCCTGGCAGACTCAGGGAACCATATTTGATGCCGGGGATTGAATCTGGCTTGGCCACATGCAAGGCTAGTGCCCTACCTGCTAGACTATTGCTCCAGCCCCAATAATGATCGACTTTTAAAAGGCCAAGGGGTAACAGCTCCGCCATACAACACTTGCCTTGCATGTGTGAGGCCCCTGAGTTGGATTCGCAGCACCCCCCAGCCCCCTGCCACAGACACACACAATAGTCAAGCCCCATGAATTCCATCACTAGAGAATTGCAGTTGCTGTTTGGTTGGACCAACTGGCCTTGCTCCCTCCAACTGATGAGATTTCATGACCTGTCAGCCTGGCCCACTTTGTCACTAAGAACTCTGCCTCTGTCAGACTGAAGCCCACTGAACTCCCGTCTGATGACACATGGGCTGTGTGCGTCCCACTTTGCCTCTCCCCAGGACCATGTTTTGATCCTGAGAATTCTGCCAAAGGAGGAGGAGAGGGTCTGAGAGCAGGGATAACAGCCTTTCAGGGCTGCTTCTTCATTTGCCATCCTGACTGGCATCCAACAGACCCACACAGGGAGACTAAAGAGGGCAGGGCTCCTCCTCCAGCCCCTCCCTGACTCCCCTGGAACCAGGCGATTAGGAGAGCTGGAATCTCTCCAGTTTACCCAGACCCAACTCACAGTGACCACGGGCAAAATCCATCACTCAGAACTTCTTCAATATCTTTGCAAAATGGGGCTCGTGCAGCCTCCTGGCTGGTTGCTAAGGATTATGGAAATGTAGGAGGAAGTTTCTGTCATCAAATGGCTTATTAAAATAGGTCCTCATGGCCCGTACAGGCTGTGCAACCTGCCGCGGCTTCCCTGACCTCTCTGAGCCTCACTTGCTCCTCGTGCGTGATGAAGGAGTAGGGGAGAGGCAGGAGGTGTCTCTTGCCGCCCTCACAGCACCAGCACCCACCTTTGAGGATCACCTGGGTTTTTTCATTCCTATAAGAGGTGCTGGAAATACCATGTCTCTCTGCTGACCAGCATGGTTAGCGCCATCATTCCTCTTAGTTGAGTCCTGGGCCAGGGACACTTGCCCATGGCCTCCCAGGAAGTGTCAAAGTGTTTGTTTATTCTTTAAAGTTTATTTATTTGGGGGACTGGAGAGACAGTACAGCGAGTGGGGCTCTTGCTTTACATGTGCCCATTCCAGGTTTGATCTCCAGCACCCATGTGGTCTCCTGGGCCTGGCAAGAGTGATCTCTGAGCACAGGGCCAGGACTAATTTCTGAGCACCACTGGCTGTGACCCACCCCCAAAGTGTTAATTTACTTCTTTTTGGCTTTTGGGTCACACAGACTGGTGCTCAGGACTTAACTCCAGGTGGCACTCAGGGGACCACATGGGATGCTGGGGATCGAAGCCAGTTTTGTTTTTTAATTCAGATCCATATTTGGTGGCCCCTGTTTCAACCCTACAGTTGGGGGTTGCTCCCAGCAGTGTGGGGAACTGTGTAGATCACAGGAAGGCCTCCCTCAGGCAATGTATGTGCTCCAGCTGTTCTGAGCTCTCTCCCTGGAGAAACTGGCAGAGTTGGCATGAGAAAAAGTCAAATATTGTGAAAGGCTTCTCAAAGAGTAATTTTTCAAAATACTCAATACACATTTCTTAGAGAAATAAATAGTCGTCATACATCAATTCCCCCTTCCCTTCCCTTTGTCGCTGTTATTAGATTGACCAGAAATATACACTCACATACAAACACTCACACACTCACACACACACACACACACACACACGCTTGTGTGACAAGCAGCGGTCAGACACCTGACCAGGTTGCCCTCACATCTCTGGTTGTAGTTCTCCTGGTGGGGTTGTACCCTTGAGCCCCCCAAGGCTCCCACAACCCTGGCTGAAGCATGCAGAGATCTCACACTTAGTTGCCATTCTGGGGTCCCAGGCGGCAGAGTCAAACAGCTGTGCTCCTCAGATGTGGGCGACCCTGGGGACGAAACTTAAAATCTCACAGCTGCAAGGCAGGCGCTTTGCTACTCAGTCATCCCTGGGCCCTATCAAACTTTTATTTTTGGGGCAATTGTAGGATGATCAAGGTCAGTCAGTGTAGAATAGGAGGAGGGAAATTATATAGACCTTTACGTGGAGAGTGGAGAGACTAAAAAAAAAAAAAAACCCACCCCAAAAAAATCTAACATGAATTTGGAAATATTCATAAAATTGCTAAATTAGACAAAACTGGCTGACATTCTAGAGGACAAAAAAAAAAATTGGAATTATCCTGTATATTGGAAAGAAATCATTTGCATCATGAGCAGTCAAAATAATTCTCAACTTCCCAGTTTTCCACCGGCTCGCAGCTATCTTTATAGAGCTGGCCCTGATCAATGGTAAATAATAAGTCCAGCAAAGTCACTCTCCCCTAGAGGGTCAGCTGAGCCTCAGGAGGCTCAGGAGACAATGTTCTCATTTGAATTTGAAAGGACACCAGCTATCTGTTTGCCTTATTTCCAAGGGTTGGATGATTTTACTTATCAGGCTGTTGCAAGAGTCTGCACACTTCCTGAGAAATCAAAGGCATCAATAGTCATGAACGATCATTTGTGTAAAGGGGTCAGTGGTAGCTCTGAAAGGCAGGGGACGCCTCCAGCCAGAGGGCATGACTGTCTTCTTCCATTTCCCCAGATCTCAGGCTCTGGGAGGAGCAGGAGACAAAGAGGCGAGAGCGAGTCCTGTGGGAGGTTTAGAAAGTCCTACCCCCCCAGGCCTGTCCATGGGACCCAGAATCAGAGACTCTCAGGCTCAAGATCAGGGTTTTGCTGGCTGCAGGGCAGTGTTTGGACATCAGGGAGGAACTGCAGGGTATACCTTGTGTCTTCAATAACAGCCTCTTGTTCTTTGTCTCTTTTGGAAGATGAAAGAGTGTGTGGGATTGTTTTATGGGAAGTGGAAAGGATCATAAACAACAAAGTTATGGAGGGGTCAGAGAGACAGTGCCGCCTGTAGGGAGATTGCCTTACACGTGGTTGGCCCAGGTTCGATCCCCATACTCCGTATGGCTCCCTGAGCCTGCTGGGAATTACCCCTGAGCACAGGGCCAGGATAAGCCCCGAGCACCACAAGTTGTATCCCCCTTCCATCCAAAAGAAGTTGTGGAGGAGATGGAGGCAATGTGGTTCAAATCCAACACCTGCCTCCTTTCCGCTGTGTGCTCAGATACAAGCGAGTTCCTATGTCTGGGGAGGCTTGAAACCATCAGCTTCTCCCTGGTACCACAATAAGTACTTGTGGTAGAAGTACTTATTGTGGTTCGATCCCCCTCCTTCTCTCACACCTGCCACTCAGTGACCACCCCCACATCCCTCCCTCCTCCCCAGCATGGAGACCTATTGAGCAAAAGAGGTTTATCTGGGGAAGGGTGGAATGAATAGAAGACAACCATCCTCTCATACCTCCCTCCTCCATCACCCATGCCTACAGGGGAGTAGTAAGCCTGAGAACACAGGAACAGCTGCTCCTGGAGAGGGTTCCCGCGCCCCCCCCCACCATCTAGCTGGAAGGGCACTAATGGGAACCACTGAAAGAGAAAGCCTCAGTTTCCCCTAGCCAGTGAGAGAGGAAGGAGGAAGCCACAGTTCTTTTCTCTCCAGATGTTCCATCTCTCCCCTATCAACCTGACACATGTTCTACCCCCAGGGTCTGTCTCAGCATTCTCGGGGCTTCCCAGGAACATAAAACTCTGCCCTGGAGCCTAGGCTGACAGGGAAACTAAGATACTGGGCAATCGCTCCTGGAGAGATTTAGA